GGTTGGGTCTGAGCGGCTGTGGGACTGGTGGGTGACAAAGATTTGTCCTGACTGTGGGCAAGGCAGGAAAACTCTAGCTACACCCTTGTCAACTTAAGCTCTGACCAGGTCCACTCCATGGCTGCTGCTGTTCTTGGCAGTCATCCCATGATCTGGCATCTCCAAAGTACTAGGGTCTCTTGCTGCAACTGAACCGCACCTCAAACTTGCCCTGTGGCTAAAGTTGACCTGGAACTCCTGATTATCCTCCCTCTACCTCCTAAGTGTTGGGATGACAGACATGTACTACAAAGTCCAGCTTCTTAGTTTTTCTTTGTTTTACTGTGGTCAGTAGATGTCCTCCCAAACTGAGGAAGATGTGGAGATAGAAAGAGGCTTTGTCTATAAGCAAAGATAGATGAAATTCGGGCATCAATATCAAGCCTCATTAAATAGACTTTTTTTTTTTTTTTTTTTTTGGTTTTTCGAGACAGGGTTTCTGTGTGTAGCTTTGTGCCTTTCCTAGGACTCACTTGGTAGCCCAGGCTGGCCTCGAACTCACAGAGATCCACCTGGCTCTGCCTCCTGAGTGCTGGGATTAAAGGCGTGCACCACCACCACCCAGCTAAATAGACATTCTTAAAGAGACATTCTTTTCTCTAAAGGTAATTTCCAAAAGAACGAAAGCATTCAGTACAATGGTATCTACCAGTCCTTAAGCTTTTGGAAATTTGCATGTTTAGGAATGTTACAGCTCAAAGGAAGGCTAAGTCCTGCAGTAAGGACTGCACTGTGTTCCTTCCTGAGTTCCCACGTGGTCCACTGCTAAGCCACCCAGTATAACTGTCATTCGTCTCTTCAGCCCTAGAGCCAGATGAAAATACAGTCTGTACCCAGGTGTGGTAGCACATGCCCATAGCACCAGATAGTGGGGAGCTGAGATAGAAAGATTGCTTGAGCCCATAAATCTTGCTTCATAATCCTAACTACCTGAGTTCTATGCCTGAAATTCAAGTGAATAGAAAGAAACAGCTGTGCTCTGACACACACATGCAATGGCCAGTGCACTCCCCAAAACACCTCAAACATCACAGACAACAAACAATTGGAACTGAAAAACCAAAGTTATTTTTATGGTTAAGCATTTAAATGGCCTTTCCCTGAGGATCCTTGAAGGGATATTTAAATTACCATAAGAAAATGAAAATAAATGAATACAGATTTTAAAATGTAACTTGCTGAGAGCCAAGCTCTTTTACTTCCATATCTTACCATTCCTCCACCACTCTAGGGTAGACAGCATTGTCCTAGTTTCAGATATGACCCAATAAAAGATCTTTGCCAGCAAAGTCGTTCAACAGGAGAACCAAGACCTGGATTCAAATCTTCAGACTATAGACTCCACAGTTTCCTGGCCTGGTGAATCAGATCCCTGATAGAGACTACACAGACATGTACTTCCTTCCTGCTTTAAATGGGTAGAGTTTTCCATATATCTAACTGCGAAAAACATGGAAACCCATCAATCTGCTATAAATTGTTTTCTTTTCCTAAATAGAAAAATACCTTGAATATAGACTTTCCCCGGGGAAGTTTGCAGATCTCCAAATTCTCTTAAAAGTGCAAGATTTTATATTTGTAGGACTGTGTAGATTATAATTTCTATATGTGTTTACTGGAGGGCATATGCACATGCCCTGGCATGATCAGAGGACAACCTGGGGGAGTCAGCTCTCTCTCCCACTATGTGGGTTCCAGAAATCAAATTCAGGTCACTAGGACTGGCAGCAAGCACCTTTATCCACTGAGCCTCTCTCCAGCTCACAACATACACTCTTATGACTTGGGCTCTACAAATGTTATCAGGAGTTAAGTACTCCCTCACTTAATACTTTCCTAAGCTCTTTTGCCGGGAGGAGGAGGGGAGGGGGAAGGGGGAGAAGAAAGAGGAAGAAGAGGAGGAAGAGGAAGGAGGAGAAGGAAGTAAAGAAGGAGGAGAAGGAGGAGGAGAAGCAGCAGCACTCACTTGAGAAACACTTATAATAAAATTAAAACATTAATTATCATGGTTTCTAAGCAAGGTCGACAGGCAAATTCTTGAAGTGATTCGTTTCTGGTTTTTTTTGTTTGATTTTTAGAGTAAAGTTTCTTTCATCTACTGATAACTAATACTTAAAACTATGAAATGACTAATGAGAATTACAGCTAAGGAGCATGCAACAGAGTAATTTTTAAATTTTAATTTATTTCTTTAGAGACAGGGCCTCACTATGTAAACCTGGCTGGCCCTGAACTGCCTCCAGAGCACGGTGATTAAAGGTGTGTGACACTGTACACAGTATTTTTTTTTTTAACAGAATATCTTTTATTTACTCTTGGACAATTTTATACACATAAACAACACTTCTTGATCATGTGCACTCTCAATCCCACCTCTAAGAACTCTCAGCCCCTCTCCCACTTTCCAGGGTAATGATTGACTCTCTCTTATTATTTTTTGAGACTAGGTCTCAGTGTGTAGTCAAGGTTGGCCTAGATGTTGCTACATAGACCAGACAGGCCGTGAATTGCCACCTGAAGCCTTCCAGTCCTGTGACTAATGGCATGTACCACCACAGCAGGCTTTAGTCTCTCTTCTGAACTACATATTAGTTACTTATAAGAAATTTATAATTCTGAAATATTTAAGTAATATTCTTTTGCTGAAAACATCATCTCCAAAGGATTCTTTTTTCCTTTTGGGTCAGTGACTCAATTACTTAGATTAAAGCAACAAATTTTGTTTGATTGGTTTTTGGTGGGGAGTTTGGTTTAAAAAATTTTTAAGATTTATTTATTCATTTTTTAAAATGTATATGGATGTTTTGTCTGCATGTATGTCTGCACATCAGAAGAGGCTTTCTGATCCCATGGGACTATGGGTATGGACGGTTCTGAGCTGCCATGTGGGTGCCAGGAATTGAACTCGGGTCCTCTGGAAGAACAGCCAGTGCTCTTAACACTGAGCCATCTCTCCAGCCCCCCAAATTTTTTTTTAATGAGATAATACTTACCTGCAAGGGCCTGTACTGGATAAACAGCCTGTTCCCAACAGGTCTCCTCGGCAGGACTTGTGGACAGACTGTGTTCGTCATCCAGCTGGAGAACAAACCAAACCATAACAGCATCCAGCAGGCCTTCTTTAACAGCAGGAATGCTGAGAGGATGCGGCTCTTTAGCTGCAAGACCCTTTAATTCCTGAATAGAAATGTAAAATGGGTAAGAAAACAGAGTTTAGGAAACTAGAAAGGAGCTAAAAAAGGTAAATAATAAAAAAGAATGAGAAGGTTTTATAAATGGAGTATGTATTTCCCTCAATGTCATACACGAAACCGATTCTCAAAGTTCACAGTCTTTGTTGTTCGAATCTTAAATGTTGTTATAACAACAAACCCTGAGCCAGATATTGGGGTGAAAGCTGAAAGATCAGAGAAGCAGAGCAAGCCACAGCCAACCTCACCTCACCAACTCCACGAATCCTCTGTTTGCCTCTGCATCCTCAATCTAAAGAACTCCAGCCGAAAAGCCTTTAGTTCCTGTCTCCTCATACCTTATATACCTTTCTCTACCCACCCATTAAACACTATGTATACTTCCCAGTACTGGGGTTAAAGGTGTGTGCCACCACTGCCTGGTTCTGTTTCTCTCCTAGACTGAGTCAATCTCATGTAGTCCAGGGTGGCCTTGAACTCACAGAGATTCAGATGGATCTCTGCCTCCTGACTGTGTGGTGATGTATTGCGTCCCAATATATTGTATACCCTAATAAAGTTTGTCTGAGGATCAGAGGAAAAAGCCAGCCACTATAGTAAACATAGAGGTCAGTCAATGGTAGCACACACCTTTAATCCTATCACTCAGGAGGCTGAGATCCGGTCTGGATCTCTGTGAGTTCAAGGTCACACTGGGAACAGAGCCAGGCATGGTGGTACATATCTTTAATCCCAGCACTTACCATAAAGGTTTGGAGGTCTGTATAGACAGACAGGAAGTGACAGAGCTGGGCAGGAAGAGGAAGTGATGTAGCTGGGCGGAGAGAGGAAATGAGATGGCAGAACAGAAAGGCATGGGTATACAGGAAGTAGGTTTTTGGAGACTGAGGTGTCAGTGAGGTGAGGTTGTCTGTAGCTTTTCCTATTCCTCTGATCTCTCAGGTTTTTACCCCAATATCTGGCATTGGGTTTTTTATTAATAAGGCAGTTTAGCAGTTCGTCCTATATGAGTGGTAGGATTAAAGGTGTGTGCCGCCACTGCCTGGTCCATATTTAATCTGGTGCTTGTTCTGTTCATTGATCCTCAGTCAATTTTATTAGGGTTCACAATATATCACCACCAGTCTCGCCCTGCCCAGTTAGGGAGTCACAGAATATCATACATCTGCTAAACATACAGCAGACACATACACACACTCCTGATGAAAACACACCAGTGACGTGGTACCGGAAGACAAAAACATGCAGCAAAGAACGGGGTCATTTTATTCGGGAAAAGTACTCAGGTGCACACGCACACATACGGAGAGAAGAGCAAGCCCAGAACACACTTCAAACAAGCGATGCAGGAAGAGACACCATTTCAGAAGGTGACACTGGGGCCTTTACATTTCTGTTCTGTCCTCCTTCAAAGTGTTAAACACACAGACACTGTTTTTAAAGCCAAAACCTCTACAGGGTGTGTGTGGTGTAAGGAAAAATTCAAATAAAAACTATTAAAATAAATACAAGAACAGCTGTGGGGAACTAACAGCCACACTCGCACTACTCCTGGGACCACTGTGTCTGGTCAGAAACGACCTTAGAACCCAGGACTCTCGACGTCGCAGAACCAAACTTAAAACAGCTGCACACCACCCTCGAGAAAGGGGACCTAAAGGGGAAGCTTCGACTCCGTTTTCAAGTTCATGCTGAAGCACCCTTCGGTCTCCTGCCACCCCACCTCACAAGGGCGCAACTAGAACACCTGTCACGAACACCATTCTTTCTTCAAGACGTTAGAAGGGATGTACTTTACAGTTCTCTAAGGGCACTTTCCGCACATCTTCCCATCACCCCAACACACGCACACACAAACCAGGGCGGTCCACCTGGCGGCTCCTCAGGCCTGCTCTGGCTTTAAAAGGCAACCCAGCAGGAAGTGCAGCTCGGCAGTACAGAGCCTTGTCTAGCATGCGCCAGGTTCTAGGTCCAATCCCTAGCATCCCCAAAACAAAAGACCTAAATGTCTCTGTCTCAGGAGTCCTTCAGCCCTTGGTGAAATGGGATATGCCATTACCCTAACACAATGGTTCTCAACCTTACTAATGCAGCGACCCTTTAATACAGTTCCTTACGTTGTGGTGACTCCCAACCATAAAATTATTTTCATTGCTACATCTTAACTGTAATTTTGCTACTGTTATGAATCATAATGTAAATATCTGTGTTTCCCGATGGTCTTAGGTGACCTCTGTGAAAGGGTCGTTCAACCCCTCTCCAAGGGGTCGTGACCCACAGGTTGAGAAACACTGTTCTAACAACTTTAATTTGAAATTTAGATTATTAGGTTTAGATTATTGCTCCTTTTAAGGAAAACGATTAATTTGAGAAAACAGCATGATAAAGAGAAAAATAATGATCTAGGCTGGAACTTTTGCCTCTGCACTTACATACATAATAACATGGCAGAATGTATCCCTGCAAGCAGCTTCATCTAAAGAGCACACACACCTTACTTCTGCTGTCACAGTGAACGTTCGTGTAGAGCACACGGCACGGCACGGCACAGACTCTCCACAGACTCTAGAGAGCTTTTCCCATGCATTCAAAAGGAATTTTTCAAACGGGAATTTTAATTTGCTGCTAATCATTTCTTCATAAGTAGAACTTAATGTACATTCAAACAGTAAGACACAGCTGGGCAGTACTGGTGATGGCGCACACCCTTGACCCAGCACCCACTCAGGAGGCAGAGGTAGAGGCAGGTGGATCTCTGAGTTCGAGGCCAGCCTGGTCTACAGCATGAGTTCCAGGACAGGTCTGCACAGAGAAAGCATGTCTTGAAAAAAACAAAATAAAACAAAACAAAACAAAAAGGAACACTTCAAAAGGGAAAAAAAAAAAAAAAGATAAGACTTCATACATTACATGAAACAATTTAGGAAATACTTAAAATTCTTAAAAGTAAGAATTAAGGGCCGGGCATGGTGGCACATCACAGAGGCAGGCGGATTTCTGTGATTTCTTGGCCAGCCTAATCTACAAAGTGAGTTCCAGGTCAGCCAGGGCTACTAAACAGAGAAACCATGTCTGGGATTGGGTGAGGGGGTGGGGAAGAGAGTAAGAATTAACTTCTTGATTTGTTTTACCTGAAGACTGTTGAAATCCACTTTCATAATTTCAAAGCACTCTGTCAGAGGCAAATACCCTCCAGGGACCCGACTCATCTTCTCCGTTGTGTACGGTTCAGCTGCTTCTCCACTATCCACAGCAGAGTAGGCTGGGCTCTGAAACTTCACATCTGCTGGTAAATGGACACCAGCAATGTCCTTAGTGCCCACCCTGGTAAGAGTGTAAGAAAAGGAGGTAAAAGATGGGTTCTTTAATTATCAACATCATTATCTCACAGTTGAGAAAGTATAAATATAAAAGTGAAGTAAGACCCCAAAGCCACAGATTTCTTCAATTGTAAACATACACGATCACATGAAGAAAATATGATAGTCTATGTTAAAATGAACAACTTTGTAGGACTGAGAGATGGTTGCTGTTCTTGCAGAGGTCCTGACTCCCAGTCTGACTCGCAGCACACACCACCTGTAACCCCAGCCCCAGGGCATATAACACACTCTTATGTCCTACAGACACCACATACACACGGCAGAGAGTCACACAAACACACGTGCATAAATAAAAACTGGAAAACTTTAAAAAGGAAAATATTTAGAACACATATTCAACAAACGATTCATATTCAAATGTACACTTGAATTCCAGCAGGTTAACAGAAGACAAACAAAAATGAACAAACACCGAAACTTCACCAAAGAGGACAACCAAATAACATAAGAACATCAGTGATCACCAAAGCAATGAAATCAAAACCACATTACATGCCACCCCCCACACACACAACAGGAGCAGTCAACAGCCAGGGTGCCTGAGGACACTGTCTCACACAACTGTGTTTACTGGTATTCTTTAATGAGTTAAATTGACACACCGAGGCATTTATAGACATAGAGTTGATAGTCAACCAGTACATCCCCCTTCAACCATCTTGGTAGTCGGGGTCTGTCTGTCTGGTATCCTTGTGCCTATCAACCTCTAACCATTTTTACTATTGCCCTGTAATGAACAAAGATTAATGAACAACTCACAGCAAAGATGAGCAGTAGTAGCTATGGACTGCTAATCAGTTCAGAGTGATTTTTATTTCTTTCCTTTATTCATCAACACTACCTAAAATATTTTTATGTTACCTTTAAACAAGAAGGAGACATCTTTGAATGATTTAAAATTCCATTCTGCCCAATCACTGCATTAATGAAGTTACTAAGAAAACCAATACTAAAATTTATCTTCACACTGGAAATCCTTACTAGAATCCTTCAATTGAAATCAATCTGAACTTAGTATTTTTCTATACAAACTTCGCACACAGTTAAACGACATTGAGCTGTATGAAAACAATTTCCATTTGGAAAAAGCTGGGCCGGGTGGTGGTGGTGCACGCCTTTAATCCCAGCACTTGGGAGGCAGAGGCAGGTGGATCTCTGTGAGTTGGACGCCAGCCTGGCCTCCAAAGGGAGTTCCAGGAAAAGGCGCAAAGCTACACAGAAAAACCCTGTCTCGAAAAAACCAAAAAAGAAAGAAAGAAAGAGAGAGACAGAGAGAAAGGGGAGAGAGAGAGAGAGAGAGAGAGAGAGAGAGAGAGAGAGAGAAAGGAAAAAAAGAAAGGAAAAAGGGAGAGAAAGAAAGAAAGA